GTTGCAACCAGTTCCTCGTTCTCTGCTCAGTTACTAGGTATATCAAAATGTACTTGGCTTGCATTCCAAAACAACTTTTTTTAATTCTGTCTGTTCACCTTCTTAGCAATTTGTTGTTCTCACTGAAACTTGGCGTTCTGACGATATCCTAGATACCGAATTCTTTCAAAATTATTACCTAGTTTATAGGAAGGACAGAAATTTTGGTGTTGATAAAGTAAGAGGTGGTGAAGTTCTTACAACAATTCAAAATACATTTAGTTGCTCCCAGATTGATGTCTCACATATAACAAACACTCTACTTGCCATAGATATATATATTGGGTCTAAAAATAAAATCGTTTATATACGGTGTTCTTTATATGTTTGCAGTGTATAGTCCACGAGCAACTAGCTATGGTGATACGAACGTTTTCTTGACCTACTTAACAATGTTGGAGAATCAAATAAGGATAACACGATTATTATCGGTGATTTTAACACACCAGATTACATAGACCAACCAAATAATAGATTTACTATTCTGATTAACAATTTTGCTAATTTTTATAATTTCCTTCAACATAACACGCGTAACAAAAACTCTGAAACTTCACTTGCTTGGTAAGTCAGTCCGTCTATGCTGCCGTATCTGAGGACGGCCACCCTCCTTGGATATTCTATATCTAATCAAGTAACCAAGATTTTTCTTTTAATTCAAATTCTAATCAAATTAACTCTCGTAAAGTGAACTTCCTACTACTATATGACTTAGTCCTCAAAACAGACTGGTCCTTCCTACAATTGACAAATGTTAATGTGGCGTGTTCAAGGTTCTGTAAAATCTTCATCAAATTTTTGAAATGTCAGTCCCCAAGTTCAGTTCTAGAAACAAAACTCGACACTACCCTATTTGGTTTGATTCTGAAATTATTGATGCAATACGCCAGTAAACCATTTGTCATAAACAGCTTAAAAGACACAAAACCCCCAGCATTCTCAAGATTGTTTTAAACAGTAGGTACAGAAGTTGATCCATAATGATTACCTTAAATATATAAATGACGTTCAATCTTCCATCTCCTCTTTTCCCAAGAAGTTCTAGTTTTATGTGCAAACGAGTAATGGTAGGTCCAGAATTCCACCTATTATGAGATTCGATGATAAAAAACTATCGACGCCGCTTGAAATTGTTAATTCATTCAGTTTATTCTTCAACTCCGTTTATGTGACCTCCAACGCGTAGCAGTATTTTATGATTTAAATAACTTGACGGTAAACATTGAGCAAGTAACAAAAAAAGAAATTCTCCAATTCCTAAAAAAATGCATGGACTCCTTAACTGCAAGTGTCGACAATGTGCCAAGCTTCCTCTTAAGAGACCGTGCTTCCATTTTCGTAATACCCTTACATTACTTATTTAATCTTAAATTCTTAAATTGTCGTCTTTTCCCCAGATTTGGAAGGAAGCCTTTGTTACTCCGGTATTCAAAAAGGGTAACCCGGCCCATATTGACAAATATCGACCCATTTGTATACTTTGCAACTTTTCTAAAATATTCGAAACAATTATTCACAAACATATTTTCGTTTCCCTGTCATACTTCAGTCAATAGGTACGTCTCAAAGCTTCTTGATGATAACAGTCAAGTAGATGTCATTTATACCGATTTTAACAAAGCTTTTGATCAGATTGCTCACTATGCACTCCTTGCAAAATTTAACTCATTTCGACTTTCTAACTCATTCAACTGTTTAAATCTTAGCTACAGGACAGGAAACTTTTTGTTAAGTATCAGAATTTTGTTTCTAACGGCTTTTGTCCCACCTCTGGCGTGCCGCATTACTCTTTTTACTATACGTGAATGATATTATTCATATTAATCATATTATTATTATCATTATTATATTTTGAACTTGTTGACCTGCCAAATACTGCTCTTCGCTGATGCTCTTAAACTATTTTTGACAGTTAAGGCGATACAAGAGCTTTTACAGGACAATTTAGATTTCTTATCCGCATGAAACGAAAAAAAATCTTTTTTTTCCAATTTCTACTAATAAAATGCTCATTTCGTATGTTAAATCTCGCTGTTAAAACAATAGTTTAATCGAAAGGATGAATAAAATGTTTATAGCAACACTTTATTCACACTGTCATTGACAACACGAATAAAGTAAAAAAAACAAAATTCGCACTACCACTGAAATTTTCGTTGCTGTAGATGCGTGGATGTTCAACTAAAATTTGCAACGCTTGATAGTCCACCTCCTGTAAAACAATCTTAATGAAAGTCCAGGAACATCCTTTGAATTTGACCGTGACGAAAGTACAGGCAGCTTAGGCAATTTACCTTCTTTAAATGTTCATCATATTAACAATAGCACAATTAATATTTATGTATGAATTACCTAAACAATAAATTTTTTGAAAAATTTTGCAAAATTGGAAAAAATCTTGTATGATACACGTGAATAAACGGATTTTATCCACTCGAAAACATTATCACACTCGACTTCGCCTCATGTGCGAAACTGTTTTTTCGTTGGATAAAATTCACTTTTATTCACTTATACAATAAATAGCTATATTCTTAAATATCAACGAATGTGTCAGCTATACCAGGAAAGAGGAAAGAAAAAACCATCATCTACGAATATTCGATTGATTCAGTGGTCTTAAGAAGTCTGGACTCATTCAAAGATTGACGCGTTTCAGTTCTATTCAATAAAAAAGCGTACAGCACATTGGGTGTTATAAACATTGTTGTCAATGACAATTTAGTGACAAGATTTGTCAAAAAAATCCCTCTAATATTAGGCGATATCATCATAATCAATTACAATTTGCAAATATGCCTCAGCATTTGATTCTCCTCAAAAATGTTCACATCATACCGCGACTGAAAGATGGTTGGTTAATTTGAGCTGTTCCGGTAATTACAATTTAAACAAAATTGGTTCCGGCAGAGCTAAAAGAAGATGCCGCTCGTTTAAATCATATAAGAGCAAATCCTTTTGATTCTGCGAGATATTGAGAACTGCAACATATAGACCACATACTATTGATAACTATCTAGTGTTAAATAGTCATGCCCAAAACGGAGCTATGACCAAATACTAGTTTTAAATTATTGTCAGCAGTACCTATGTTACTTGAAATCACAATTTTCTCCAACAGTACGTGTAATAAATGTTTGTGTGTTAATTTTACTCTTACTTTGTCTTAGGTCTTGAAATAATTATGTTACATGCAGTTACAAGTTTCTTTAATACCTTTAAACAAATTATCATTATTAACTCAAAATCAGATAGACAACCTACAATACTATTTTAGCCCAATTCACAATAGCAAACATTATTAGAAAACGAACATAAGAATTGTACGCTTTTTCATTGAATACGACTGTACATTTGACTATACGTAAATTCACTTTCAGAAATTATATCCTTAACTATGTCACCGAAACCCACAAAATATTTGGTTTCATTTACAGGAATTGTTCCAATTTTACTTTGCTTAATTTGTATTATTCGTTCGTACGCTCCAGGTTAGAATATGTTACTGTTATATGGTATCCAATTTATTCTACGTATGTTCAGTTAGTTGAATCACTACAGCAGAAGCATCTTAAATTTCTATCATTCCTAATCGACGGTATTTATCCTCCTCAGGGATATGATCGCTCTGCTGGTCAAATTTAGTTGCAGCCTTCTTCACACTATGTAGCGTTTCATTTTTAGTATTAAACTGCTTCATAGCCTTCTCACCTACAAAACCGACTGTATTCATTTGTTAAGTAAAATTCTAATTCGGATTCCTAGATTTAATAGTAGAAATTGTAACGTTTTACTGCAACACATGTAGAACTAATGTCTTAACCAGATCGCCGGTATACTCGTGTATAGTAATTATAATTTAATTAATACTTTATGTGAGATCAACTACGATTCATAATCATATTGTTACGAAATATACCCATACGCCGCCCCGGTACGACGCCTATGGGTTATCGAGGCTTTTGTAGTGTGTGCGGCGATGATGGGCGACATTCGCATAAAGACAAGCCTGGAGCGGGTTACCCGAAGTCTCGATTACAGCGTCCAGAAAAACCTCGAAGCAGCGTCCACGATCCATCCAGAGGAGTATATGGATTTAAATGGAGGCCACCTTCCGGAACGGATTATTCAGTTAACGAATCGAGTCCAGTCAAATTCCGCCGGAATTATTTTGTACCACAATCAGTATGTAATCAAAATCTTGCAAATTCGAATTATTATGAAATAAATTGTAGAGTTTTACCCACGTCGATTTTTAATTACGATCAACGGAACACTGTTTTGGATGTTATACTTCGTTACTTTGAGAATTGTTAAATTAGTGGTCAGGTAATTTTTATAAATGTAATAATTATCATATTTTCTATAATTTTTATTATGTTTAATATTGTTCGGTTATTGTTGTTGGGAATTTAGTAAAAGTTATCACTTTTATTTCACTTGAAGTATGTATTGCTAGCCTACACCTGCTATATTTTCTTTTGTATTTTCATTTTCACTAACTGAGTGCTACCTACGTGTAAACTTCACCCGAATAATGTAATGCCTTATTATGAACCGCTGTTTTTAACAAGTTATTTCCAGGCTTGACACAGAGGTTGAGTGCATACGCAACACCTTATCAAATAGAGTTGAAACAACACTGATGAACGCTACTTATTCTGTACTAATCAATTGTATGAATGTAATTGTAAAATTTTAAAACCTGTTCTTAACTAATTAGTATGTTATTTATATTGGATTTATTATAATTGATAAGATTGCAATTATCAACCTTTTCGTCACAAAAATTTTACTTTCTTTGATTTGATACCCACAATTTCACTTCATGTCCATAAAAACTCTCCTTTATATTATTTACATTCCTGCGTGTTTATAGTTTCAGCTCCGTTGAGCATATTTGATCGAAGTGGAAGCCTCCTGTCGAGAGACTCCTCTGTAACTTTTTTATTTAATTCCAGAACGGCGGTGCCAAAGATGGATTGGACATGAATCTGGCGCCAGCCTGGAAGAAAGGATATACTGGTAAAGGAGTTGTTGTGTCAATCTTAGACGACGGCATCCAAACTAATCATCCGGATCTCGCACAGAACTACGTAAGTACATACAACAGAAATAAAAAGAGGGCAAAGAAAGGGGGAAAAGCACGCAAATTTTACATGACAGCTATCGGGACATCTGAGAGAAAGCAAAAAAACGAGCAATTTTCTAAAAGATTGTATTCCTTTCAAATCTGACGTTTACCCTCATCACGTAACAGTTTTTTATATCCCGTTCTTTATTGCGGATGCTTCAGGAAGCGTCATGTGTCTTGTACTTATTTTCAAAATAGTGGGTTTACCAAATTCACTCGAATCAAAAGGGATTTAAGTTTCTGTGGAAAATCTAGTGGTGTATACCATAATTATAATGACTGCAAGGATATAATCGGAGCAGCAACCTTTTATGAAATTACAATCAAGTTAAGATTTTAGTGACTGCACTAGTTAGAACATTTCAACAAAACTTCCTTCGTCTTAGAAACACGATCAAACAAATACAATTTCTTAGATAAAAGGACATTAGGACTTAGATGAAAGGACATTCTGCATTTTTACTTCCCGAGCATACACCAAGGAAGTACTGTAATCGAATTCATCGGATGAACTGGCTACTTTCATGTTTTCGCGAAGTTTCATGACCGCTAGAATACGAAAAAATGGGTCTCCCGTTTCCTGTCTGTCTGCCGTCTGTCCGGATTTTTATTAGACGAATGATCTCGGAAACTACTGAACCAATTGTTGTCAAATTTTATGTGCATTGGGAATTTCTCTCCACCAACAGGAGGAGGCCGCTATCTCCAAAATTTAAGTTAGTAAATATTACTTCAATTTTATAAAATATACTCCTACACTTGTGACTTACGAATCCGTGTTACGTTTTTACGCAAAACATCTAGATTTTTTGAAAAAAATCTAAATTGTATTACATTTATCAATTTAATTTGACGTCATTTGACAATTTTGTTGAGTAAATGTACTGAAATTTTAAGGATTTTTTTTTTTTATAAATCCGTGTTAAATTTTTGCCTCAGATTTCCAAATTTCTATAACAGTATTTTAAAATTTAGCGTTGAAATTGCAAAACTGAATGCTCTGTAATCTTAGAAATGTTTTAAGGTTATCGTAAGTCATTAATCAAAAACGCAAAATCAAATTTTATGATTTTCCAAATAGGCGGGATTTGTTGGAGCATACTTCAAGGGTGAGGGAAATTCTGTCGAAATAACCTTCGACCAAAGTGCAAACAATACTGAAACTCGTACATTTGTTAACAACAAACATTTATTTAATCATTTTTTTTTTATAGAACTTTTACTTTACTTTCATGAAAACCAGAACACGTATCATTAAAAATGTAAATACATTGTTAAACTACAATTAAATGAGCATACCACATTATGAATTTCAAGTAAGTTTTACTACTTTACAAAATTTTAAGATGACATCAAGTTTTTGGAAGAGATAGACAGATGAGTTGTGATTAACAATGTACCATTGACGAACAATATATTTTTCTTTTTTGATGTGGGAAATTTTTAAAATAAGTTAATAAGCACAAGTAAGAACACAAACAATGGAAAAGCAAATTTTATATCTATATGGAAACCAAAATAACTGACAACATTGATACTTAACAAATCAGTTGTAAGTGTCCCACCTAGAATAAAAAACGATTACAGTATTCAATATTGACAATAATAATTGAGCGTGACATAATATTGTTTAACATTTTGTCAAATGTAGAGTATCACAGTAATTTAAACCTACAGTGAAAATATTTTTATTTTTTAACGCTAAAAACATGCGACATATATTTCGAAAATAATGTATAATAAAATATCCAACAAACAGAATGAACCCTATTGCAACACTTCCGGAGCATAAGCTAGAGATGATAATATGAATGTAATCATATGTCCTCTGTTGTTTAAAACCGCGTATGACGTAAGTATTTGCCGCGAAAATGGATCTACACTTCTAGTTATGAAATTAGTTGAAAATAAATTTCGCTGGGGATTTATGGACGCATTGTTTCGTGGGACGCAATTTCTGTAATAGGTATTTGTAGAACTTTTCAATTATATTTTCCCTTGTCGGACCGTCTCTTGTGTATAACAAAGTAATCTGAAATCCAATTTATGATGTAAACATTAATCGCCCAAAAAAGTACAGAGTTTATGAAATTTGTAATGAAAAGTGCTTTCCCTTAACGTAAGCCCTGATAAAAGCTTCTAAATTGATCTAAATTTTTATTCATTCATGCATGTATTAAATCTGTTTTAAATTGAAAAGGTATTTATTTGTCTTAACATAGGCATATCATCGTCAAATAACCAAAAAGCAGTTCAAACAGTCACTAACCGTCGCATTCACAATTTCTTCGTTAGCAAAAAAAAAAAATAACAAAAAATTTAAGCATTGACTATTTATAAAATATTTTATTGAGCTGAAAATCAAACAAAATTTTTTCGAGAAATAAATTATCCCGCCTCCGACATGCCAACGACAAACTATGGCTTAAAACATGTAAATAATATTGAGAGATTATTGATTTCCCTGGATCCATATTAGATTTTTGGTTTTTAAACTTCGAAAATCTCAGAGAGTATATACCGGGTGTCCCACGTAAGACTTTCGGGAGACTTTCGTAAGACAGTTCGTTCAAAAATACTCAGATATTTTTGAACGGATTGTTATGAAATTTGAAATGTAGGTATTTTGGCAGGTGAGGATTAATATGAACCTGTGAGAATAATCATTATCTTGAAAAAGTAAATTTTCCATGCCTTAATATAATTTTGAATTAGTTAAGTTTTGCATAACTTGATTAAACATGAAAAATAAATACTGTATGCAAAAATGTCCGAAATACGTCTGGTTAGACAAAAAACGATGCTTATTGCGCAAATAATTCCAAAAAGTGTTAAAGGATAGGTAACTATGAAACAAAAAACTGCATTCCACGCATTTTGGCCACCCTTGCGGAAATTTGATACCTGTTTGCCAAGCCTTATTTTATCAATTTTAAGAAAATACTAATTTTCAGTTACTCGGCTACAACCTTTTCAAAGGCCCAAAATTGTTTTAGTTTCAGGAATTAATTCTAACTTGAATGGAAATAATTTTGCTAGGTGTATTTAACATCTTGTTTTTTTCACTCGTTTTAGGTCTTGTACACTTCCCGTATCTTCAAATAAGTGTATTATTCTCTGAACTTTGAATTTGGTAAATTCATCATCGGGATACCGTTCGATAAGAGTCCTGATTGTTTCATCTAGGTCTGTACGGCATTCTCCATAGGTTAAAATGATTTCTGTTTTAATAATGAAAGAAAAGCGAACCATTTTCAATAACTTGTCAGATTTTGACAAAAATGTCAGGGGTATACAAAATTGAACTCGGCGACGCAGGCAATTCTTTTGCACCGACAGCATTATTAAATTTAAAAAACAAATTAGTTAATTTTTGCGTTTTTATTAACGTTATTCTTTTAAACAAAGACAGTAATTAATTTTTCGCGTTATTTTAGTTGCTTAACGATATAACGCAATTTTGAATAACTTTTAATAACAGAGAGCTGTGTTAAAATTCGATTTTTTTTTTTTACGATAAAATAGGTTTTTTTGTTATCAGCCTAATCTGTATGTATTATATTACACCTGTTTTAAATTTCATAAAAATCCCTTCAAAAGTACGTGGGACACCCGGTATATATAACGACCTGTGCCTGACATCTCACTATCTCAAAAATTGACAGAAGTTCGTTTTCCAATCCGTCAGATCATATGGTACAGATGTACTCATATTTCAACAAGGGACTCATTTAGTATAATTAACAAAGTATTGATTATAACGGTTCTTTGTGTATAAATTCGAAGCTTTCCATTATCGTAGTACATTCAATGAAAAAATGGACTAGAAGTGATAACTGCGTGTCCAGTGCGTACTAATTATACATTTTTTTATATTAAAAAAAACGTAATTATGACTTTTTAATTTAATTTGTATTCTAAAATATTTGCAACCTTTAATAAAGAACATGCTAAAGTGTTTGCATACATTCACTATTTTTACAATGATATATTGTTAATTATATTATATTTATTAGTTTAGTGGTTTTCTCTCGTTGCTTCCAGTGCAAGGTTCGGTCAGTCTTCGACATACGTGGGTGACGGAAATATTATTATCGAAGCACAAATTTTTGCAAAACTTATTATTCAAACTACAATAAATCTAAATTAGTATATTATATAATTAGCATGGAAAGTGAGTTGATATCGTGCGAGTGAGAATTTTGACGCACGAGGTGCCAGCCGAGTACGGAAATCTTACGAGCAAAGGATAAACATTTTCCAGCGTATTTGGTCCACTATTTTACATGCGTTTACAAACGGGCAATCCTTTCTTTAACAGTTTATTGCAATTTGTCATTAACTGTCAGATATTATGAAAACGGACGTTCTCCGAAGACGATGATTTGATGTATTTAATTTGGTGCTAATCCATGAATTAATCATGCGATATTTCATACCTTTTGCGCTATTTTTCAGATAATAATTGGTGCAAATTGCAAAGGAAAATTTGACACAAGTGCGTTTGTTTATTCCGTCACCCCTAGCAACCAGCATTTGATACCCAAATCAGCATTACAAAGTTGCGCTGCACCAGTGACTTGCGCCGGCGCAACTGGCCAACGTGGAATTGGCCCCTGAGTTAAGTTATACAATAGCCAGTTTGATTTATAAGGATGGGTTGGCTTAAACCGCTTAAGTCATAAAAGTTTTACTAGCTGTATGTCAAGTGAGTTTAGTATAGTCGTTAGGAAATAGCTATTCACATTCAAGCGCCGAAAGTACCGAGCAGTATAACGATTAAGAAATGATAATGTTAGGAATATTACCAGTCCAATGTTCGTATTTAGGTTGGCATTAGCCTTGTCATTAGTCATTACTAAGTGTCAAATATCACATTGGTAAAACCGATTTGAAATGGGAATTTTCAACGTAAACGTTTACCATTAAAAAAGATGAGCGAAGGCCCAAATGCACCGCACC